TATCAAAAGGATTAGAGAATTAAACGTCAGTTTTCAACGGAACCTACGTAAAGGCACTGAAATCTCAATTGAGCCTGTAACCTTAATAAATTTGGACGATTATGATTTTGTACCTAAAGATGAGTCCGAGCTCCGTGGTAAAAGCATTCATTGTAGACGGAACAATACATCCCTTTTAGAATATGCATTTAAACAAATTCCTCAGATCAATGAACCAATTGAAAAAGAAATTAGTCAACAAGTTGCTATTCTGAAAGAATTAAGCAATTCAGAACACATTATTAGGTTTTATGGAATAGCAAAATCTAGTGATGGATTTAAATATTATCTGGTGACAGAGTGGATGGAGAATGGTACTTTAAAGAAATATTATAAGAAATATACATTGGATTGGAATAAAAAATTTTGAATTTGCCATTGATATTTGCCGAGGAATTGCTTTTTTGAATGCCGTAGAGGTATGTAGAATACCTATTCAATTTAACAAATAATACTATATTAAATGGTAAATTTATTTATAATTTATAAATTATTTATGCTAACAGATTATGCACCGTGATATCAGAAGTGCAAACATACTAATAAATAGCAAGCACAAGGCTAAAATTGCTAATTTTGGTTTAATGATTCGTAAGAACAGAAGTGAATCCATATATGAATCGCTTGAATTTGAGAATACAAGATATATGGCACCCGAGAAGTTAGAACTTGGTGATAGACGACAATATAATGTTAAGTGTGAAATTTATAGGTACATATATTAAAACATTCAAAATATTATGATTATATATATTCTAATTTAATTAAACATCAACTTAAATCAATATTTCAGTTTAGGAGCTCTTTTATGGGAAATTGCTGAAGAAGCGATGCCTTATACAAAAGAAGGAATGGATTGGCGGGATATTCAAGAGCGTGTTATCAAAGAGAAATATCGTTTATCATTTTCTTCAGATGTACCTAAAGTTTGGCAAGACATTGCATACGCAGGTATTTATTATCAATATATTGAAATTAATTTTTTAATTATTTATGTACACTAATGTTCTATATGTATTTTTTCAAGCTATGAATCATGATCCAGATCTTCGTCCACCAATTTCTAAAATATTCACATCCCTTTATGATTATCATCATAAAGATGAAAAAAAGCTTTCACCAATGGATGAATTTGATGATTTTATAATTGTTGATAGTTTAATGACTGTGGAGCAAGCAGTTGAAGAGCGCCGAAAACCCGACGGTGATAAACGAAAAGCATCGGAATGCTTCACCCAATTCGCCGAACAAAGTGACATAACTGCAAAATACTTGGTTGGCTATTATTTATATCAATCATTCTGTCCTTCCTGAGCATAAAGATAATCGTCAAGAAAATCTTCAGCTGCGGCAAAATTATTTAAAGAAACGGCCGATTGTGGTAAAGTTGAGGCTCAACTCCGATATGGTTTTTGTTTATGGCAAGGCGATGGTGTTCCTGTTGATTGGGATGAGGCTATGAAATATCTACAAAAGGCCGCTGATAATGGAAATCCTACGGCTATGTATAATGTTGGAAGTGCTTATTGGATTGGAAAAGGTATAACTAAAGATCAGGAAATTGGTTCCAAGTACTTAAAAATGGCTGCTAAGAAAGATCAACATAATGCTATTGCTATGTGCAAGAAACTTGGAATTACTTTTTAAATGTGTTATTTTGTTGTATCATATCGATATATGAAAGTGAATATTTATTAAACATACTCAAAAAATATGATCAAATTAAAAATTTAACCTCTGAAAAATTTGATATTGTGTGATCTAATCACGTGCACGATCAGTGTTCTAGTCGCAAAATTTTCGATTTTGTTCTATGTTTTTGATACGCCTAAAATTTTTTTATTCATTGCTTATATCACACGCAAACCACCAAT